ATTTCGGCGTGTTTACACGCACTACAATTTTGTTCTTTGTGACTTTCCGGTCACTGCACCTACTCTCTATTTCCATTGCTTTAGCCCAGCCTTCCTAGGGGAAGATGACGGAATAAAACCGATCGTGATCTACCATTTTTCATTATACTAACTTGAAACGGCTTATATACGATCTTTACTCAGCAGCTGCCGTGGTTTGAGGGAATGCCATTTGACGAGACATCCCGGCCAACTGCACAAAACACTAAACCACAATAGCTTGGTAGTTTCTTATATCGGAGTATGGGAAGTCACGTTCATGTCTACCAGAAGTACAGGTACGTTTCTGACATGTCTAAATCCGGACTTCATATCAGGTCTGCCATTGCGTCCACTCACATAGTCGGACACAATTAGTCACAAAAGAACATGTGAAGTCGATAATTCTAAGGCTTATGAGGTAAAGCACGCGAAAAGGAACCCAATTCCGTAAATACAGATGGCCTTGGGCCAAGTATGAATATTACCGAATAAAAAAATCCAACCTTACTGACGGCCCTAACCCGAACCCTAATCTTCGCCACTGATCTTAACCAAAACCATACCTTGATTCTAACCCCAAACCTAAAAGTAGCACTAGTCCTGACCTTTACACTTTCCGTCATATATGTATAAATTAGCCTAAGTCTTCCGAATAGGAATGGGTCCCTTTTTCCATACGTTGATGCTTTATCAATGTAATATTGTTCGCGCTAGAATCAACGCTATTGATGACCTTCGGCCAAGTAGACAGACAAAACCTCGCATTGACGAAAGGTCGGTAGGCCTCCGCTAGCGTTCATTTTGTTGGATATTTGCGAGGACGTCAAACCCGTTAGTATTTTAGCGCAGTTGAACCCACTTTGAAGATTTTTTTATTGATTCTCCTGTATTGTTTCACCCTGTACCCCTCCTACCGACCTGCTGTGCCTTTCAGAACCAGCTCACGACACCCATTAAGGCTGAGCTAGAAGCTCAGAATGCCAAATCAGGGAAGGAGCCAGCCTCAATTTCATATGAAGTCCTACAAGTCGCCCTAAACAGACATCAGCTCGCCGAGGCAGAACTTGCTCCACTGGAACGTAAACTCCTTCAGATCAGGAATTCCCTCGACCAGCTCTGGCATGATGCTCCACCCAGCCCCAATGCAGGTACGTACTCGATTATTTCTCAAAAGCCAACCTCGTTTCTCGAACGTCCTTCTGACCTTCATCAATGCCCAAATACCCGTTGTTAGCTGTAATGCATATAGTCCTGACATGGTCTCAAAAAGATTTCAGACGAAACTATTAAAATGACCTCCGAAGTCCAGCCTGTGATAAGAGAATGATTAGAAGTCTGTCTAGCCATCTTTATTTTCCTGAGCCGACACATTTAAGTCCACATTCAATGTCTTTTGAGCGCATGGCTCACTTAAGCATATTGTCATTGCCTGATGATTCATGTTCATACTGAGAGAGTTGGCACCCTAAACATGATTTAGAGTCAGCGTAAAAACCGCGCATCGAGCTAGGCCTCTTCGGTCAAGTACAGGCAAGTATTATTATGGGTTCAGTCAAAGTGATGAGACTGATGTTTTAGGATAGTCGTTTATTTAAACCTTGTTGGGAATTAATTCACGAAATTCTTAGTAAGCGGTTGTTGGTTATTTTCTCTCATTGTAGGACTGTGAGCAGACAAGTATTATATTAACCTGTAGGGAGAGGGCGGGGTTAAACAGGCGTTAAGGTGATTGAACATAACTACCACAGATATGTGGAAACGGAGTATTTGTGAGTTGCAATATCCTTATAAATTCCTCTTGGTTTAAGATTTAATTCGTTGAAAACGGATCTGCTAGGGTTGGTATCTACGCTTATGCAAAACTTCCATTTTAAATCAGCCAGCGTTATTCGGTAAACCATGTCGTAACTCCTGCCAAGTAAGTAATATTTCACGCATAAGTTTTCTTTGAACACATTGTTCGAACACAGTTACTTAATAGAGACCCAACCACGCCTTCAACCGGTTTTATGCCTCTACATAACACCACTACTAGGCTTGTTATTGGTCGATTCTTGGCGAGTTAAGAATGGGATTTCGGGTCACTTCTGTTGAGGGAAGTTTGCCTTAAGTTTCGTTTTTAGCCGGTTAATCTGCCATTTAAGCAGGCATTTTATCGTTTGTTTCCGTCGTCAGGCTTTCTAACATAAAACATATCATGGAGATTACATAAGTGTACTGGCGCGAGTCAAAATCATCATGTATAACTGCTCAGAAGGCCAAGCACAAACCACTATGCAAAGCGTGGTTATGAAAATCAAAGACCGCTCAAATCCCACATAGAAATCCGGGTTACTGTATTGCGTCCCACGCCTCAGTTTTTTTGTCCCTACACGGGTCAAACTGAGCACCTTCTCGGATTGTACATGCATGAACATAAGCTGGTTGTGTGACCGGATGACGAGTTGCTGCCCACACCTACGAAACGAGCAATGAGTTAAACTTAGCGGTAGTCAACGTAATCGCCCACCCCAGAAACGAGGCGATCCGAGAACTGATTGAAGCCTGGTCCACGGATGGGGACTCAATCAATTTATGTATCTATTTAAAGCTGACGTGTGGAGCCCTGCGCAGTCCCCCCAGGCTTCCTTCACTGATAATTGATTGGGATATATCACCTATAATTGTTATCTTTTTGCTAATGCTTTCTCTGAAGATGAACTCATGCACGAGTTTCAAACTATTCCGGTGCTCGAAAACTATTCTTGTTTACCTATGCACTTTACACGTGGAACGCGAAACTCGCATTCATTCGGGAAAATTAACCATATTTAGCTCTCAATTACTATAATTAAGCGACTGTTTTATGTGCAGTGAGCGCTTGGACACGCCTCACATGAATAAGGTCTTGAGCTTCGGCTTCCTCACAAAAATCGGATCATATGACAGGATAAAAATGAGATGTTAACAGAGACTTCGCTCCACGAAACACTATCTGCATCCTGCTTTGGGATTTAACAACTAACATCCCAAAAGAAAGAGTGGTTTGTTCTCAGGCTGTAAATTGGAGAAATGTATACTTTCGCATAAATTACAGCTAAGAATAGTAAATTTCGGAAAAAGTCTGACACTAAGTTTTTCTTTTTAGTGTTAGAAGCCCATTAATTCTCATGTTTAATCACCTCTACTCAACCCGAGCTTCTGTTTTTTAGGCCAAGAGCGTGAAGGTGACATGGCGCGCAGTGAAAAGTCCATCAAATTATGGAACAAAGTTGCGGCCGCCGGTCGTGAGCGTAAGGCCCGATTGGAGGCCATGAGTGCTAGCTACAACATCTCAGCCGGATTGGCCCAAGAACTGAGCTGGATCAACGAGAAGTTGCTGGTGTTGGAGAAGACCGCGAAACAGGCCAGAGAAACAGCGACTGCTCGGAATCTGCAGTTAGCTCAGCGACTTTGCAAAAACTACGAGGTACATATGCGCTATAAATATGTGTTTATGCCGAGGAAAGGGATGACAGAAAACGCGGGTAGATTTGCACAGTCTGTTTCGGGCTTTTTCTGTCTCCTTTCAGCCAATCATAACCCCGACTACCAACTGAGAATGCAAAGAAAGAGGTGCGTTCGAGTACAACGCACATAGTCCAGGCTCTGGGTCTAGAAAATGGGTCATAAGGATTTCATCATCGAGCTCCAGGGCGAAGCGAAACTTAATAGTTCCTCTAACAGATCGGCGAAGACCATATATTCATCATATTTCCAATCTCAACCGACAAAGCAACAAGCCCCTGGTGCAATGGTAGAGTGGTAAACTCAGTGACCAAAGGTTCCGGGTTCGAATCTCGGGGTTTGCGATTCTGGGTATGACTGGCTGATGATGGCTAACAAGCCAGAAATGGCCAGTCCGGTCTCCTTTTGCTTTGTCGGATTCATTCCATAAATATATATATAGCAGGGAGGGATGACAGCGTTTGGAGGTAAATTGATACAGAACTGTTTGGTACTTATTTGCCTTCCTTCAGCCAAACATAATCCTGACCACCAGCCGGGTCGGACAAAACAAACACGCGCGTATATATATATATATATATATATATAT